ACGATTTTTTATAAGAGATTTGTATATATTTAGCTAATATTACACCTATTCTAGAAAACTCGAAGTTGGTGTGAGCTATCATTGCCTTAAGCATGTAGGTCATTTTTGTATTTTGTAACACTACGTCCATGTAAAAGGTCTAGGTTTCCTCAAACTACTTCAAAAATATCTTTAAAATAGACATTTTCGCCGTAGAGATTTTCGTTTTGCAGAGACAGCATCTTGACCGACAACAAGGACATTGCACGGCGACGGCAGCGTATGTTGCTCGTTTGGTCGCGTTGGTTGTAACCGGGGCACTAGCAGCAAGCTCATGTTGAGCGTTCCGGGGTGCATTTGTTCTGCTTGTGCTGTACTTTCGCGAATGGTTCAAAGTTCAGCCTGCCGTTGTTTACCATGCTGTTTTTGGTTTGGCGATACGTACTCATAGCCGCATGAGACTTGACCTTTGAAGTTTAGTCAGCAACTGCTTATGTGAGACATTCCATCCAGTAAGCATCCGCTGCTTTTGCTACTTTCGCCATGGAACTACGGATTTAACCTTCAGCTCTCGGTTCACCGATCGAACTCAGCATATGAAGCTCAGCCTCGTCTCTGCACTAAACCGGTGAAGGTCCCTCAAGTGTTTGGCTGAGGTTTCTTGCAGCGGTTACATCACTCATGCATACGCGTCATTTCGGGGCCCTGCATCATTGGACAGCCTTGTTGACTAACCTGGTCGCTTGCGCTTATTTGCAAGGCAGCCGCCGCCACCTTTCGCACCTTTCGTCCACAGTCCTCGGCAAGTGTCGATTTTAGCGGAAAGAGGAATCTTGGCCCGGCAGCTGTAGCCAATCGACACAACACCATGCATAGAGATAAGGGTTCGTCCACAGTGTGGCGGAACGCTTGTGCCGTCCACGGTGTTCAGCCTTGTTGAGCATTATGTTTTAAATAATGATCGTGATCAAAGTTGCCTGATGCTCTGGCGCACCTAGAGATTTATGCCTCAGCCTTGTTGAACGCATGACCACTTGGCCATCATGTAAGAAAAGTTGCATGTAACTCGATGATTTCAGGCTCTAACAGGTGCCACCAGACTCAACATGAAAGCTTCTATCACGAGGTTCATCAATGAGGTTGTAGACTCATTCTGCAAAAACGATGAAAATTTGGAATTCATGCCTGAGCACAAGTTGAACGAGTTTGTCACACGATCGAGGGTGGAGTCAGTTCTCTATCCAGCTAAGCCCGACAGCTCCGAAACCGTTGTAAACAGGGACGACGTTGTGAATTTCGTTGTAAAAAGAGCCCCTCGATTATTTCTTATACTTCTTCTGATGGAAAATGGAAATCTTGAGCACCAGTTGAGATGCTGTAAAAATGAAGATCTTGACGACTGCGCCCTCCCCATTCACTTCAATGAGGATGGACATGCGGAGAGCATTCAAGTGTCATCGAAAGCTCGAAGATACACGTGGCTCCAAGAATTTTCGCGAAACGAGCGGAAGGTTTTTCTCGACAATCAGTGGAGCTTGACCATACCTGTTTTTGGTGCCAGGGAAAAATTTCGCTTTGAATTGGCTCCGCTGCAACGGTTACCATTCCTGGAAGAGGCCTCGGGACCAGAGGCTAATGGTTTCTTTGGCGAAGTGTCGCGGGCGGTGATTCACGCAAGCCATATCGTCGGCCACCCGGAACTTCCAGAAATCTCATGGAAATCAAAGAAATCAACCCGGAAAGTGGAGATTCCGGCGTATGAGATTGCAATCAAGAGGTTGAAGAGAAGTGAACAAGTGCCTGAGGTACAATGGGAGCAACTGGTCAACAAGGAGAGAGAAAACTTGAACCGAGCACGAGAACTGGAATCGCCACATCTGATCAAGCCTATTGCTGCGTATGAGCGCAAGCCAGATCGTTGTTTTATCTTTCGCTGGGCTGACGGCGGTAATCTTGGCGATTATTGGGAAAAAAATGAAGCGGAGGCTTGTCAGCGAGAAAGTGTACTGTGGCTGCTTGGACAGTTCGTCGGGATTTGCTCAGCCCTTCAAGTACTTCATAGCCGGATTGTACGACATGGAGACCTGAAGCCAGAGAACATGCTTCTATTCAAGCTTGGATATGACAGAGGATGTCTACAAATAGCGGATCTTGGTCTTACTACCTTTTACGAGAAAGGAGAGCACACAAATGTCCGCGTAGGTAAAGCCACGAAGACTCCATCAGGTACTAGACGTTATAAACCTCCAAAGGTGGACGAGCTGTGTGGCGAGGGACAACCTCGTTCCCGTCAGTATGACGTCTGGAGTTTTGGTTGTATTCTACTTGAGCTTCTTGTGTGGCTTGTCTGCGGCTATAGCGCCCTCGAGAAGTTCAGGAAGGAAACCCCCGGATACTTCTGGCGGGAACCAAAAGCTAATGGCAAACCTTATGAAGTCCACAAGTATGTTGTTATGGTTATGGGATGGTTGGACAAACAATTGGAAGATGGTTCAGCCTACAAAGATATACTCAGGCTTATACGAGGAAAGCTACTGATAGTTCCTGTCTCTCTGGACTACGCAGAAACGAGTAAACCAGGCTACCGCCATAAAGCCAGTGAGATTTATCCAACCTTACGAGATGTCTATGAACGGAGTCAGCATGACGAAGGGTATCTCAAGATGCCAAGATTGACGTATCCTACTTTTGCCCAAGTTAAGGAAATCGCCAAAGTCGGAGGAAAGCTTGCGCCACCGAAACAAAAAGCCTCTCCAAATAGGATTTCCGAACTGAAAATGGCGCCGGCCCTGGCTGAGGAATTCCCCCCTGAACAGCCTGCGGAAAATTTGACACATGATATTCCGCAGATGATAGTTCAAGCACCCACGTTTTATGAAAGCTCAGATACCATAAGCAGACAAACTTCGAAGATATCAGACCATCGAGAAGTATGTTAGATTCATAGAACATATCATATCGATTGATGTTTGAAGCTAATCCTACGAACAGTATGTAAGTCCTTCGTATTCAAGCCAGAATACTAGCTAACAGAACATTCTTCTTGCGCGAAGAATGTAAGTAGGCGCTCTCCAGATTCTACTTAAGCTCACTAACGCAGTAATGCGATGTATTACTAGTTAGTAAGTATATTGATTTCTAGGTTATGGCCTTGCTGATCAGCATCATGCAGTTCGTAGGTGCGCCTTGTATACCAATGAAAACCTGGTAATGATTGGATTATACAGCAATCAAGCAAGCTCAATGACCACTGGACTTCGGTTCCAGACAATGACTTTGCTACTGATTTCTTCGAAAGGATTGGGTGGGATCTGGATAGCCTCATACCACGTGGGATTACCACAAGGCTGTGTGGTTCGTGCAACTCGAGCACCTCGCTGCCCATATTCGACAAGTTCTGCGAGGTTGCAGTTCTGCAAGCAAGAGCTCAACATTGTGATCTATGCAGCCTTTTGCAAGACGCATTAGACTTTAAAGGCATCAAACTACCTGGAACTGTTGAGCTACGTCAGGATGCTGCTCATGTTGGACTCAAAGATGGCCCCAATCTTTTGTCACTTTATTGTGAGCCAGGTAGAGTTACGCCCCCAATTTCCAGGATGAAAAGTGCTTATGACCGTAAAGATCCAAAAATAGAGATCCCGGATGGCGCACAGTTCGGCTTGCCAATTCTCTTCGGCCAATATTCTCCCGAGTTCTTCGCTCTCCTTCAGGAATGGATCCGGGTGTGCGACTCGGACCATGAAACTTGCCATCGCAAAGAGAACAATGCACCGAGTAAGCCAACACGGCTAATTGAGATAGGTAAGCAGTTTCGTCTTGTAGAGACGGCAAACATCGAATATTGCCAATATGTCGCGCTCAGTCACTGCTGGGGACCCTTGGGAGAGAACGAGAAATTCTGCACATACAAGCGTAACATCGAACAGTTGAAGACGGGCATCAATTTCGAGGCTCTACCACCTACCTTTCAGGACGCTGTAACCACGGCTCGTGGCTTGGGGATTGACTACATTTGGATTGATTCGTTATGCATCATCCAAGATGACGACGACGACTGGCAGCGTGAGTCAGCTAAGATGGAGCTCGTGTTCAGCATGGCGTACTGCACGATTGGCGCAAGTTCGGCAAAATCTTCGCTAGATGGCTTTTTGCATGAGCGAACACCGCGAACTGTCATCAAGCTGGCTGCGACAAGTACTAAAGTCACTTACGCTTGTGTCGACATTGATGACTTTCATGCTGATGTAGAACTCAGCGCGCTCAACAGCCGGGGCTGGGTACTGCAGGAGAGAGCATTGTCTCGCCGGACCATATTCTTTACTTCTGCGCAGATCTATTGGGAGTGCGGAGCTGGGATTCATTGCGAGACGCTCGCTCGCCTTGAGAAGTAAACTTGCCTCAGACTAGCCAAGCAGGTTGCCTCTTGCGAGCTGACACTGCCATAGTTCTAAAGTTGCTCTTCTGGGTGACGCAAACTTTCCCAATGCCGCTGTCGAACATTACCGGGACGGTAGGCAACTGCTCATTCAGGATCTCTACGAAAGATACTCGGGTCTGGCATTTACTAAGCCTGCAGACCGATCAGTTGCCATTCTGGGCTTGCAAGAAAGACTCGCCCGGACTTTCCGGACCAGAGCTGCCTATGGCCTTTTCGAAGAATATTTCGCCCGAGGGCTCCTCTGGAAACGTCGCGATCTAACACGCATGAAGCGCATTGGTCAGCCACCTGGTCGTCGCGTACCGTCATGGTCGTCTCTCTCGATAGAAGGCAGCATCCAATACATGGACGCCACGACCGAGTTGAGATTCAAGGAAATTGATTGGGCAGTAGACAATTTCAAGAACCCTTTCTCGGTGGTTGGCGGTATTGAGTCCGCTTCATTTTTAGGATTCGCCAGGAAGATTAACTTGTCCAAATACGACATGTTGGTTACAATTGTATTTGACGATAGCGAAGAGTTCGCTGTCGAGGAGCTGAGGTGCGTAGTCATTGGAAGGGACAAGATGGGAGACGGCAAATTCGACTTGAAGTGCCACGTGCTAGTTATCCATCAAAGCCGTAATGCGTCGAGAGATCTCATTTACGAACGAGTTGGCGTGGCATCACTCGAGCCTGCAGTGATCGCAAGTGAAGGGTCATGGGTAGCTATCTGCTGATGGGCTCTGTACTAACATTTATGGAAAATTGAATGATTTTGTAGAAAGTCGGTTTATTGACACTTCAACCATAGATAGCGTTTGAAAAACTCGGGCCGTAATTTGAGATTCTGCCCATGAGTAGTGACTTTCGCGCTTTCGATCAAATCAATCCCAACTGCTTCATGCGAGATATAGAAACTAAAATATACTCCCCGGGGCGATGACTCTGCCACTGCCAGAACCGCTACCTGAGCCCACCCTATCATTGCTGATGCTATCTCAAACACATCCTCCCTGGAATGTCTTTGTCAATTACCACTTTGTTATTCTTTCACTGCTTAATTTTTTCTCTGCCAGATTAATGTCTTGAAGCCTTTCCTGGTATGTTTTGGGCCCTATCCTGTATTCCATCGAACCTTCTTCGTCATCGGACCCTGGGTCGCGATTCTGCTCCCTCCCATTAGCAGCAGCCTCCACCGATCGAATCAATCGACTCACATCATCGTTCCTACAATGTCTCCTATAGACGTAGATGATGTATATATTCTTTCGCAAAGAAATTCTGAATCGTTCTTTACCGACTGCATCCGAGAGATGTCTTGAAAGATCCTTGGGGTGAATGCGATCGCTATGTTCCGTCCAGACAGAAAAACTAGCCTCCTCTCTCACCAAGGTTAAAGAAAAGTTGCTCATTGTATTCAGATCCGTGAAGACATGAGATCAATGATGGCAAGATGGGTCCTTTTACGATAATATTTGCCTGAGTCTGGATCGCGCCAAATGTCGCCTGAAAATACCACCTAGCACCCGCACACTTAGGTCGACATTTCCTTATAACAACTAGAAGGACTGCGCAGGGCGTCACTGGTCACATCCAACTGGGCTGTGTGCCTTCGCGCCAGCTGACACCGGAGATGGGGGTGTGCCATGTCCAGGCGCTGCTCTATATTGGGGCGCAGCAACCGCCCTGTCTTAACCTCGCTCCCAGCGCTACCATACCATTGCCCAATTTAGTGCTAGGGCCTGTCGCATCGAGAACACAGAAAAGAAGTGACTCTATATTGTCCCACCACACGATTTCCTGGCAAAATGACTTCATAATTGCCTCCTTTCTCAGGGTAGAGAGTCAATTTCTTCGGGGTTGTCATCAATCTAGTCAGCTCAGAGTAGGAGCAACAATAGTGGGGGCGATTTACCGTGCCCCGTTGCTCTATTTACGGAAGGTCCAAACTCTAGTGCATAAGAAAGAAGGCAATCCTGATGCCTCAGCCTGCCGCAAATCAGAGCAGGAGGGTGGATAATCGCTGACATCACCCCCACAAATCCTAAGCCACTTTCACGGAGTACACCTCGTGGATGCCATGCAACAATAGCTCCAGGCTTCAAAGACATAGCTCGTAGCCACGGAATTTCCACACGCCACTTTTGGCTTTTAAACTGCCAACCCGATGGGAGCAATAGTGGAGGTAGTGCGGTCTCGGGACCCAAGGCTCACGCCAAATATAGCCTAGGCACTTGCGTGCGCCACCACCACCTGAGCATATTCTGGACCCAAGATTGCCTTGCCTGAGGCAGGAGAATATGCTTGCACACAGACCTACCGTTCTGCGCTCATGCAGCTAGTGATCAGAAAGCTTAATTGCTCTCTACTGGCTCTAATTCCACGAAGAATAGGTTTGCGGGCCTTAAGACGTTCCCCAGGCCCCAACAGTTTCTTCTTAGGAACTAACACTCAGTTAATCTGCTCTCATGCTCCCGTAATACTTGATGTTTATTGTAATCGTTTCTGCTTACTATTGCTTCCGAACAAAAGAACTATAGCGAACTGTCATCGCCCCGCACCTGACTTTTCCTGTGCGCTGGACGTTCAAGGACAGATCCATTGGGGACGTTACATAGGGTGAACCTTTATTGGTTGAGCATGGATAAAATCAACCACACAAAGGACCTTTTGCCTACTCCAGGAAACTCACCTGGGCCTTCACGGTCACGTGCGCAGCGCCAAACCCCCGGCCCGATCTCAACGCGATTCAACTACGATGTTGAAGGATTTCTGGGTGGACCTAATATAACTGTCAAAGAAGACAATGGTTATCTACGGCCCATCAATGAGAACGACTTTAGGAGAAGCCCGAGCAGTGATGCATCTACTGTGCACAAAGTTGAAGACCTTGGTTTCAGTGCAGCCGCCGCGACGTTCGACTTCGAATCGATAAAGAAAGATGGCCTCTGCGCCCTTCAACGGCTTCGTGAAGAGCGTGAGGCCCATTTTAACACTTCAAATTCACCGAAGACCGCACGGTTTGAGTCAACACTTAGAAAAAGGTTTGAGGAGAGCTTGGAGGTCAGCAAACCAGCCGCGGGCGAATACCTGCCGCTCGATATGTTTAGAAACATATTCAACCCTGCATCCATAATGCTACTTTTAGATGAGAGGTTCCCGTCTCCTTCGAAACATGAGTTGATGAAAAGGTTCCAAAATATCATCAGTCAAGACGCAAAGAAGACTCGAACGCGAATTCTGGGCGTCCTTGTAGCTATGGAGGGTCTTGATCATCTCGAGGAGTTCGTCACGGAAGATATCTGGGATAAAGACCTGCCGTTCAAGCAATCAAGGGAGTCTACTCCGAATTCCAAGTCCAGTATACTGGACGGATGGAACCGAAACGATCGCGTGCTATTCTATGAGTACCAGAGGGTCTTCTTTGTTCCTTTTTTCGATATTCACGAGAAAGGACTTTGCTCTTATGAGCTTGATCGCGAGACAAGACTACCCTGGGTCTCTATAGAGCCAAAGTCAACTGGCGGCACAGGATTAGTTTATCAAGTTGAGATCCACCCTAGTCATCACAACTTCTCTAAATCAGGGGTACGACATCACTAATCTTATCGACCATCAGTAACTGACCTCATCAGTCTACCGACAACCCAAAATTTGCGCTGAAGGAGATTGATGCATCCGAGCAGCGTGCATATAGGAAAGAGCTCCACGCGCTTGAAAAGACATGTGCACATGCACAAACGGAAAACCATTTGATTAAACTTCTGCTTACTTTCCAACATGGTAATACGTTTTATCTGCTCTTTGAGTGGGCAAATGGGAATCTTCAACAATTTTGGGACACAAATCCATACATTCAACGTACTCCTTCAAATGAGTTATGGGCAGCTCAGCAATGCCTTGGCCTGGCCAGAGCAGTCAGTCGGATCCACGGGCTCAGTTCATGGCATGAGGTGAGGAGAAAAAAGAATGGGCTAAATTCCATCGGATCTCAGTATGAAGACAAATCTGAATGGGGAAGGCATGGAGACATCAAGCCTGAGAACATACTGTGGTTCGAACAACACGGGACTTGCCGGAGACACCTAGTGATTTCCGACCTAGGGCTTGCGCGATACCACACCGAATTCTCAAAATCACTGGTTCCTCGAGCAATGATTGATGGTATAACGTGGGGCTACCGGGCCCCTGAGGTAGATTTCAGGGAACCGATATCCTCAAAGTACGATATTTTCTCACTGGGTTGCGTATTTCTCGAGTTCTGCATTTGGTATTTGCGAGGGGCGCAGGACGTGGGGATCTTTGGTCTCGAACGAGAGGATCAAGATGAGCCTGAATTTGATGATGTGAGAAAAGATCAATTCTTTTGTATGAAAGGCGACGGCAACACCATCAAGGATGCATGTTTGAAGGAATGCGTACAAAAGGTATGATTCCTACTTGACGTCAAATCCTTTCCTCACATTGACACCGATGTAGCGATTGTCACAACTGAAAGAAGGGACAAATTTTACAAGGGGACTAGCTAGTGTGATTGAGGACAGAATGCTGCGCTGCAATCCATCCGAACGATCGAAAATTGATCTCATCCGCGTCGATCTCCAGCACCTTGTTGATACACTGAAAAATTCACCTATTGACGAGCAAAATTCGCAGGACTTTGCTCAATTGTCTGCCAATCCAGGTCTATCGACGCTGTTGGATACTAAAAACACATTACGAAAATTTCCTTCTCATTTGACACTTGACAGCCACGAAGAGACTTCGTCCATGGAAGGACACGATACCAGTGGGGCCAGATCGTCCAGATCTGAGCAAGCACTGCTCGAGAACAATGGGCATGATGACAGCCACAGCGACTACGATGATATGCCTATCGAGCCTATGACCGACGCTGCGGAGCCAGCTGCAAGAAGCAAGTTGTTACAGGCGGAGGTTCAGGAAGTATCGGGAGTCCAAACATCACACTCAATGGCCGAGCCGCAGACCACAAAGGAATCTGCAGAACATCCGACTACACAAAATCATTCGATTGGTTTCGGAGATGGAAAAGTTGAAGCAAACCGGCGATCAACAACGACAAGGTTCAGGCATGCCAGGACCAGGTCAAAGCAATGGGTCCGAGACACTTGGAGCGATGTCAAGGGTGTTTGGAAGTGAAAGTGGTGTGATTACTATCGTTCTGAACTGATCTGGACCGTTTAATAATATCCTTTCAGGCGTGAGTATGTGGTTTCTCGAATTGCAGCCTGAATTGTAATGAATGTCTTCGGGTTTCGAACACATGATTTTGTAGAGACAGCTCTCAATGCACACGGAGTAATTAAGTGAAGAATACACTTTGATTCGTTTATTCATCGAACGTTCTCGGTCAGAAGCATCAGTGGTGCCATTGCTGAAATGACGCAGATATATCTCCAAATGAGGGCTTAAGTGACAGACAGAATACGGAAAAATCTCTTTGTCGGGTGAAGTAATTGGGTGCAACTTGATGATTTAATGATTACGCAATGAAACAAAATCCATCCATCTTGCGAATCACGAAAGAACGTTGAACCGTTCTAGCTTCTATCGATTTCGATACTTCCCGATGTACTATGCCTTAAAACCTGTCAAGTTGTTTTTGTGTAAAGTTTTCCCACTACCTTTATAGAATCGACGATCATTTCTAGTCGAAAAAAGGTTAGAAGGCCAAATATGGTGGGGTGGAGCTTTAGCTTGGTTCAGTTGAATCAATTTCTTGTACACTAAGAGATATAACTTGGGCGGGAGCCCCATGCAGTTTAACATGTCCATATTGGTACGTTTCTGTGACTTGAAGTAATTTTTGAGTTTACGCATAGCTCTGCGAATGTCTTCATCGTTGGAGTTAAAGTTTGGACGATTGCAGAATTGGGATGTGCGCACTGGTGAATTTATCTCATACTACTGTGGCAGGGCCGTGAAGGAGCCGGGCCGGCACTTCCGAGATGCCACCTAGCAGCCAACGCCTGCCTCTGTAGAAGCCTCAACACCAAGTTGACAGGCACCGGTAACGCGTTTTATGCGCTGGAGGATACCTCTAAACTAGTGAATTTAACAAGTTTGCGATGTTTTGCAGGTTTGTGGGGTCAATCTACCACACATACACCACGTGGGTTGACCGAATTAACGTAGAGCTGGATACGTAGAGCCTACCATATAGTTATGTCAGATTGTGATGGTTTATCAAAGATGGGTGGATCAATTGGTTGGTGAGTGATTGTATTGATTGATGACGTTGTTGTCTACTCTGATCCGTGCTGATCCAAAGGGGTTGAACACGGTGATTCATGCGCCCTGTCTGATCTGACCACATAATCCACAGAATCCGGGTGCCCGATCCACACCCGGTTTTGTCCACCACTCAATATATGCCCATATTCTCACAAATCAACCATGCCAGTTCAAGAGAGCGGGCACAGGCTAGAATTTGTCATTGATGATTTTTAGGATATAGAAACTTAGGAGAAAGATGCTATTACGTCGAAAAGTCAGCGCTATGTTAGAAGTCAAACAGGCTAATGCCTGGTCGCATAATCCAAGTGAGTGTGTGCATTGTGTGAGGACATACTGCTGTTGCATCTCGATCCGCTGCTTACTCGATCACCAAGCCAAAAATTTGGAAATCCGGCCCGTTTTTATCACGATCCCGTTCATTTACCCCGCGTTGTGATGACGGAACAGGGCGGCATGACCTGAACGCATAAAGTGATACACATCTCAGCGCGCTTTCCCGCTTTTGGTAGTCAGACGAATTGCCGAGAGCGGGATAGCGTCGAAATGTGTGAAATTCTGTATGTTGAGGTGGCGCTGGTATAAGGCCGATATGGCTTGTCCACGTACTGAGTAAGGATTACCGTTGCAAATCATCAACACCATATCCATAGCCCTTAGTCGGATTGGTAGGGATACCTGGCTCACTATTCAACCATATTATTTGAGAGACCGTTTCATGTTTCTCGCGAAATCAAGAATTACATCTCCTTGTTGTTCAATAACTCGCCCTTATACGTGGAAATCCGTGCTTGGCATTTTATGCCTAGATAATAGCGATTACACGCCTAAGAAACATGATCTAATCGGGAACCTGACTTGTTTTAAACATCTCATCATATCGTTATGCCTTAGTTGTAAGTTTGTTGGGCACGTGTAATTTGGGTACAGCAAATAGAACTTTACTACACTTTAAATAACGTGTTTTACAAGCGAGCGGCGCGTACAAGCGAGCGGCGCACCCCACCAACTTTGCACACCTCTCT